GATTTTAGTGAATTTCAGATGGGCTGGCATTCCCTGTGTATGTAGTATAAAGTCATGTGACAGGCATTTTAACAAACCTTCCAGAGCTTGTATATCCCAGTGTATGTTGTCCTCCTTGAGTAGCCTCCCAGCAGGATATTGCTTAGTTTTTCCAATGCCGTTGTCATTGGGGAAAGCATTTCTGGAACTGTCTTCAAAGACTAGAAATATCTAGAAACATTGAATCCCAAAATGCAAGAACTGGAAGGGACCTTAATGGTTATCTGTTCCAGCCTCCCTCCAAGGTCCTCCTCAGCTTCTAGACCTACAAGTTAAAGTCCAGAACAGTGACTCACTGATCAAGGCAGATAGAATAACTGCTTTTAGTCCTCTCAGATTTGCCTTCTTCTCAGGGCAGATCTTCAGTGTTATTTGTAGTTAGGAGAGAGAATTTTAAGTCTCAGACTAGCCAGCAGTTATTTGAAGCCTCTGGAAAAGGTGGCTTATCAGTTGGGTTTGCAGTAATAATTGCTGCTGTAAAGAAGTCAGAGCCATTTTCTTGCGCAGCTCATAATTCCTAAACAGTTCCCAAAGAGAAGTTCCAGAGATGTCTTAAGCATTGTGGTCATCATTGAGATAGGTAGAATCTCTTTGGTGACTACTTTGGTGGGGAACATCACTCACCTGAATGTATGTATTCTGTGCTCTGTGTGTGCATGGACATGTGCAGATGTATGTTTTAAAAACATATATCAATCTCATTAATTTATGGTCACACTACTTCAGTTCTAGGCCGTACCAACAATTACGTCCTCCAGGGGGCTGCTGGAGGGTGTGGTATTGCCCAAAACTGAAGAGCTGGCTCTGATTTACAGAAGACAGGGACAGTGACCTTACTATAAATGCCCTTAGAGGAAACTTATCGGTTACTGCCATTTCCTGCATTTCCTTTTTGATTTTAGTAAATATTATTGGAAGGCTAGTCTTGTTGGTAGGAGCAAAGACACTTATTTTTCCACTTGCCATCTTTTTCTATATCTCTAGTAATTGGAAAAACACTTTTCTGTTGGAATTGATTTTTGTCTTTGGTAGAAAGAAATATTTTTAATAGATAAAAGATATATATTTTAAATATTTCCCCAAATTCTTTTCATTTTAAGAATTGCATAGCAGTTGCAACAAGTGCAGAGTGAAGAACAAATTCCTGTTAAGCAAATATTCCAAACACTAGGTTCAGCTTACTGCCTTTCCCCCTTGTACCTACTATGATGCCTAGGATGGTATTGACGGTTGTTTTTCTAAACTTCTGCTGAGCAACAGTCCTTCCAATATAGTTAGAGTGGTCTAGGTTAAAGGGAGGAGATTAGATCTTTAGTCAGCTTGACTTTGGAGGAAGGAAAAACCACTAAGGTATTACCTGTATTTTAAGATGCTTCCCATCCTTAATAACTAAAACCTGAATGCGTTTTCTTTCTGAAAAGTCTCCCTCTCTCCTTCCACGGTTCTGAAGTTGGTTACAAGTCGAGTTGTTGAGATGGATTTTTTGGAGGAAGAGAAAAGGACGAGGAAGGAAATAGACGATGGGGAGGGTTTGTGAGTTAGAATAAGAGATGCACGATTCCCCACAAATCACTGACATCCAGTTCACCATACAAATTACCCATGTCTTACTCTGTTCCTTGTATATATGCAGTCTATGGGTTTTTTCCTTATTAAAAGGGAAGTTATGAGAGGTGGGAGGGTGAAGGTCAATCTGAGGGGAAATCCAAGAAATGTACCCTCAAAAGGGGGCTGTCAGCTCTTTTCCATAGAGAGGGAAAGATACTTTGAGAAAGTGATCTTGACCTGTTGATTGTATCTGCTGGAAGAAGTCATCTGGGGGTGTTGGGTTGGCATAAAATCAGGGGATTATGCATCCAGCCTCTGGCCCCTTTCATATAATTACCTCTTTTTTAAAAAAGGTTAAGTCTTCTTGGGTGAGGCTTGCCAGGGAAACTCCTAAGTGGCTTCACTTATTTTTTAAACTTTTAATTTTTACATTTTTGCTTGGAAGAAGCACTGGTAATAAATGTTTTGTTTTTGTTCGTTTTCCCTAAAGGAAAAATGCTCTTAAGAGATTAAAGCTGCTTAATGAATTACTGTCCACTTACAAACTGGCCAACTGACTAAAATGGGAAGCTGTCACTGTGCCTGACGTACAGCTGATGACCCAAGGCTGTTCATACTTTCTTTTCTATTTGACAAACATTTCCTGAGCTTCAAATGTGTGCCAACCCTGAGCTGGATTGTGGAGATAAAGCAGTTCCCACTCTTGAGGAGCTCAGCATCAAATGGAATGCATTTGAATGTATGTGTTGCTGGAGAGTTTATGGTTTTAGGAAAGCCATTTCTGGTCCCATTTAGGATACTGAGAGGCACCCAGCAGGCTGCATTCTACATTTTAGAGACCCCGTCAGTATTTGTGAATTTGATTGCACTGCTGTTTTTCTTTTACTAAGTAATGTTATGGAAGGAGAATGAGTTTTCTCCTCTAGTGATTACAAGACATTAACATCTCTTCAAAAACTGCTTTCAGCTTAAGCCCCAAGAAGTGAGGTGGATTGTGAATCACTGACATGGTCAGAGGAGACCCACACCTCAATTTAGTAACCTAATCCCTCCCCTAACCTGATCTCTTACCATCAGAGCTGGCGGCAACTTGGGATTCCTTTTTCCTGCCTGCCTCGCTTTTCATTGAAATGTAGCAGGAGAGCACGGAAAGAGATGAATCAAAGGCTGGATCACAGTCATAGAATGTGTAGCTGGAATGGCCATGGAAATCATCCAAGTTAAACAACTTTTTCCCCAACCTCCTTTTTTAGCCAAACAAGGAACTTGCAATCCAGTGCCCTATTTTATAGTGTAGTTTTCCAGGGTCTGAATAAATAATCATTAAAGTTTGATACGCACAGATGCACACACCAATGATGGGGATACCCCGAAATGATTTAGGAGACTATTTTAATAGCTTTTTCTTCCGTGTTTTTTTTTTTTTTTTTTTTTTTTTTCTCCCAGTTAAATGTACCTATATCCCCTGAATACATGCTCAGGTAGAGAAAGTCTCTGTAGTATAAGTAATATGAATGTGGAATCTTGGAAAGTGATAGATTTTGATTGGAATAATTTTAAGTAAAAGCCACCTAGGCAAATTTTCTTTAAAAATTGGAAACTCATTAGGGTCTTAAGTTTTTCTCAGCCAGCCTTTTCCTCATCAACTCATAGAGTGGTCTTTTGAACTGGTCTATAAACATAGTTGGTTGTGAATTTTCAAAGAGAAAGCGGGTCTGGGGTGGGGTGGGAGGTACAGATTATAGGGAAAGTGCTGAATAGATTTTCTCTGAAGGTGATCCAGGAAATGCATCTTTATATGTGATTGTTACCCGCTATAGCTTTCTGAAGAAGATCATAGAAAAGAAACTAAGATATTTGCAAGGGTCACCAGTTTAGAGATTAGACAGATTGGTTGAAGGAAAAAGTGCCAAGACTGAATGTGCAGGTTATTCTATGTATTATCAGTATTTTTTTCTTCCTAAGAAAAAAATTTGCTCTTCTCCTTTGTGAGTAAATTCCTTTTTAATGCCTTGTCAGTAAGGTGGCAACTTTTTAACAACCTTCATCATGTGAGAGGCAACCTCAAACTCTGAGCAGACTGACTCTCTTTCTGGTGTCTTAAATCAAGAACTAGTGTGAAGCCAAGGCAAAGCAAAACTTGTTCATCTTCCTTTTCTGTCATTTACTAGAAGGTAAAACAGGCAATGAACTCACTCTTCAAATAGGAGATTTCAAGAGTAGCTATTGGCCCTGGTTCCAGATTAATATGGCAGCAGGCAGTTTCCCACTTGTTGGGACCACCACCCTCCAAAGCTGTGCCGCCAGTGAGAGCAGGCAGGGGTTCTTAATCATTGGGTTCAAGTTTGCATCAAACATGATTTTACCAACGCTGAGCCTCCAGCAGAGTGCTTAACGTCCTAGTGAGAGAATAAATACTATGCAAGGGAAAAAATTATTTTAAATGCTAACGAATGGTTTTTTCTTTTGAGCCTGATACACTGTTAACTCTCAACTCTTTGTACAAATATAGTTGTCCTAAGGGCCTTGTCCCCTCCTGCGTAGAAAACAGGTTGTATATTGGTTTTATTCAACCTGCAACCTGCTGTCTGCTTTAGAATTGGAGAAGGTACCTGGATCCCTGTGGACTGCCACCGCTGGCCGCCGCCTCTCCAACTCATCAGAAGAGCGTTTTGACAAACAGGACTTTGAACAGGGCATGCCCCTTTGGGGATGCTTTTGCCAGCAATGACATGGCATGGAATCAAGTGGGATGATGTGTTATTATTTAAACAGTACCAAAGTGCATTCTTCTATGTATGTTTGCCTGCTTGAGGCAAGGCCCAAGCTGAGAATACAGTAAAGGAAACTCACGAAAGTCAATGTTCCGTTTCTAGTCAAAGTCCTGTCTCTGGAGAAAGATCTCAGACAGAAACATGGGTTAAGTTTAGGCTATGTGTGGATTTTTGGTGCTGTATGTGTTCTGGGAGATGCCCCATGTTGAATGTCTTACTTTGGCATTCAAAATAGTGGTAGAGATTAGGAGCTGGGATGGGGTTTCCGTGGTTACAACTATGTGTTTTGGCATAAGTTATCTCCAGTTTACAGTTTGCTCCAATTTACTGTCCTAGTCACATGTAACTATTTATGTTCCTAATGAAGGAACCAAGAAAGAGTCTGAGTAAAGAATGAATGTACAGGATGACACTCCTTGCACATTAGGGATCTACTCACAAGATCTGGTTTTTAAAATACCATTTTGGAGCCATTGTTCAGGAGTTTGTTAAGATCCCCTTGGTGTCAGTTTCTTACACAACAGAGAACAAATGTATCCCTGTTGCATCTGAACTGGAAAACCATTTTTAGAGGGAAGTGTGACAATGCTGCTGTGGCCCGGGATCCAAGAAAGAATGCATGTGGCACCCAGTCTGTTGCCCTGTGCACCCACTCTTTATTGCCACTGGGCAAAGCACCAGGTCATGCCTGGCCCCAAGGAAGGGAGATCCTGACAGAGAGGCCAGTATGTGGCCAGTGAGTGGAGCTCAGCTGAGCTGAGGCCTGTGGCCAGCTGGTCAACCTCGAGGTGCAGTGTAGGGCACAGAGCCCTTGCGGAGAGCTGGGGCACAGGCCAGGTGGTGCACAGCCCTAGCTTTGTGAGTCACTGGTTGTGGGGTCCTGGCAGAACTCATCCATGAACTTGAGGAAGCGGCCGAACTTGGGCTGGCTCTCACTCAGTGGTGGGCAGGCTGGAGGGAGCGGGGTGGTCCCCAACACTGTCCGCAGAGAGCCACGCACCAGCCGCCGGTAGCGTGCCTGGAACTCCTTCAGCAGCCTCTTGGCTTCCAGGTACTGCTTCTGGTTCACCAGCCGCTGCTCTGTCCGACGGCGCAGGACAGCACCTGCAGGAAAAGAAGCCAGGAGAAGCACCAGCTCATGCTGGTTCCCTCCCAGCCAGAAGCAGCAGGATTTGGTCCAGAGACCCTTGGAAAGTGGGGATGGCATGGCAGGAGGATGGTAAGAGGCTAAAAATGGCCTTTTCAGCTTGAGGCAGTGGGAAGTCAGCGGTATGCCCTCCTGACTCCTATCTTAAGCCCTGGTTCAGGACCTTAACATGCTGTATGATTTTAGGCAACTGCCTGCCTCATGCTGGGTCTTCGTTTCTCCATCTATACAGAGAGACCAGTGAGGGCAGTTGCTCTCTAAGGGTCTTTCCTGCACGATACAAACCCTTTCTTTGCCTTTAGCCAGCAGATGAGTGAACTGCTGGATCTGGGATCCTGGCAGCTGTGGCAGAGCCATACCTAGTGGAGCCTCTGTAATGTTCCGGGGATCCCGCAGGCGAATGAAGATATCATCCAGCAGCTGGGCTCTAGTCTTGCGTGGCGGTGGAATCGGGATCCTCTGGGCCTGGCAGAAGGTCATGGAGGAGGGTGTTATCCCAGGTTTATGCACAGACTTTCCTGGCCTCACTTCATACAGGCACAGCAACAAGCTGGGGAGCATCTGGGGGTGCTGGGAAAGCATGGCCCTCAGAGGGTCCCAAGGTGACAGCCACATCTCTACCTGTGGGGGGTACTCAGGGGTCCTTTATAAACTCAGCTGGAAGTTTACCCGTTTTTCTTTGGGAACATAGGATTTCTGAAGAGTGTCCAGCTTGGGCTTGGAGGAGTGGTACACGAGTGGGTGCTTCAGCATGTGTTGCAGGGCCTGTGCATTCTTCTGGATTCCTAGGGCAAGAAGGCAAGACTGAGTCAAGGTACTTCCCCTTCCTCTTCCCAGATGCCTCCCCTGATTGCTTCATTCCTCAGTTCTCACAGCAGCTCTAGGTAAAAGGGTTTGAGAGTCCCCAAAAGAAAACACTACTCCCAGGTTTCTCCTGGATCTGTTCCAGTGCCTGAAGTTCCATCGTTCTTTGGTGAGTATTTGTCCCATATTGCAATGGAAAAATAGCACAGATTGTAGTGGGAAAACAGTACTGGAGTAGGAGAAAAGGTTGGCTCCAACATGACGCTACTAACCTCAGGGTTATATCACAGGGGCTGACACCCAGAACAGCCCGGCTGAATGCCAGTTGCTTTGGAAGTACAGATTAACACAGATGAAGCTGCCTCCTTTGCCTCAAACCAGATAGGAAGGATTGTTCAGTTTGGGACTTACCTGGGCTGGTAAAAGCTCAACAATCTGGCCAGTCTGTTCATTCATCCAACCTTTCCTGAGGAGAGACTTTTCCATCCAGAGCAGCTAGACTGAGACTGATTGGAATCTCTGAAACTGTGGTTCCACATCAGCCAGTGAAGGCCCAAGCCAGGACAGGGGTCCCAATATGTGGGAGTTCAAATAAAGGATGCCCTAAATGGAGCCCTTTGACAGGTGTTTAGACAGGACAGCACCCTAGTTGGCACCAGCCTTGGTTCAGCCCTGACTTGCTCTGGCCCCTTGCCCTAGAGCAAGGATATGCCCTCACATACCCTTTGGCTCAATGAAGGCTGGATCAGGCTTGGCTGTCAGCAATTCTTCATAGCCGCGGTACTTGCTGGGAAGAGAGGAAGTTGAGAGCTTCCTCCGAGTCCCTTTCACCTCTCTGGGTGCCGTTGGTGGTCTCTTTTGATCTTTCTCCTTTAAATCATCCCTATTGATGATGGAGGAAGGCAGCTCACTCACCTGTGCCCAGGAAGAAAACACACTCATTTGTTCATTCATTCATTTCATGAACATTGCAAGCATCATCTCTGTGCTGGTCTCTGCTGAGCCCTGTTAAAGGCAAGGATAAGAACAAGACTGGAAGGGAAGGAGGCAGACATGAAAACAGACAAGAACCACACACTTTGATAAATGCTTTAACAGAAGGAATACAGTGGTTTTGGGTGATCCCAGAGGAAGCCCCAACCTAGCCAAGAAGCTCCCTTGGAGGAATGCCTTAGCCTGAGCTGTGTTGAAGAGCCAGGAGAGCTATCCCTACGGAGCAATGGGAGGAGGTGTGGACTGCAAGAGATGAGAAAGGATGATTGTTGCAGACAAGGAACAGCATGAGAAAAGGTGCAGAGGTAAGAAACATTAAGGTGCATTTTGGGGGAACTAAAGATTGGTACAGTTAGAGTACAATGTGAAGAGAGGGATGGCTGCAGTAGTAAGCAGGGCCCCGATCAGGAAGGACATTTATATGCCAAGCTGAGGGTGTGTTTTATTTTGTATTTTATCCTCACTCTGATGGCAAGCCATGGAGGATTTTAGCCTATCCTAATGGCTTTGTAAGAAGTCTGTATGTCATGTAGGGATGTAATTATTTATTAAAATAACTCACCAGGCATGGTGACACATGCCTGAGTCCCAGCTACTCAGGAGGCTGAGGATCCTCCGATGGGAGGATCACTTGAGCCCACCAGTTCTGGGCCATAGTGCATTATGCTCCTTGAGTGTCCACACTATGTTTGGCATCAATATGGTGACCCCCCAGAAGTGGGAGACCACCAGGTTGCCTAAGGAGAGATGAGTTTGCCTAGGTAGGAAATGAAGCAGGTCAAAACTCACAACTCACAAGTGGGATGGTGCCTTTGAAGAGCCATTGCACTATAGCCTGGGCAACATAGTGAGACCCCATCCTGTATATGTGTGTGTGTGTGTGTGTGTGTATAAATATATATGTATACACACACACACAAATAAGCACACACACACAAATATATATATATATATATATATACACATATATATAACCTATAATCAAAAAAGCTCAATTAGCACTTTTTTTTTTTTTTTTTTTTGAGACGGAGTTTCACTCTTATTACCCAGGCTGGAGTGCAATGGCGCGATCTCAGCTCACTGCAACCTCCACCTCCTGGGTTCAGGCAATTCTCCTGCCTCAGCCTCCTGAGTAGCTGGGATTACAGGCACGCGCCACCATGCCCAGCTAACTTTTTGTATTTTTAGTAGAGACGGGGTTTCACCATGTTGACCAGGATGGTCTCGATGTCTTGACCTTGTGATCCACCCGCCTCGGCCTCCCAAAGTGCTGGGATTACAGGCTTGAGCCACCGCGCCCGGCTCAATTAGCACTTTTTAAACTTCCTGCAAAGAAAAGCCAAGGACCAAATGGTTTCACTAGTGAATTCTACCAAACATTTAAAAAAGAATTAACACCCATACTTCACAAACTCTTTCAAAAATTAAAAAAAATTTCAGGTACTACCCTGAAATCCAAACTAGAGAAAGACATCATAAGAAAGGAAAAATATAAAGCAATATTGCTTATGAATGTAAATGCAAACATTCTCAAAAAATATTAGCAAACTGAATTCAGCAACATGTATAAAGGATTATATACCATGACTAAGTGAGATTGATCCTAGGAATGAAAGGTTGATTTAACATCTGGAAATCAATTAATGTAATATATCAATAAAGGATCAAAACCATATGATCATCTCAACAGACATAGGAAAAGCCCACTCCATCGTGATTAAAAAACACTCAATAAACTAGGAATAGAAAGTAAATTCCTCAACCAGATAAAGAGCATCTGTGGAAAACCCTCAGCTAATATCATAATTAATGGTGAAAGACTGAATACTTTCCCCTTAAGAACTGGCACGAGACAAGGAAGTCTGCTCTCACCGTTTCCATTCATCTTATTAAAGGTTATAGCCAGGACAATTAGGCAAGAAAAAAAGATTTTTTTTTCTGAACAACATGGGGACTCATAATTGATTGTATTGCTTTGGCTGCTAGGAGCTCAGAATTGCATTTTGTCAGTCTATCTTTACTATAAAAGCAGCAGTGTGTGATGTGCACATTTAAGTGATACCCTTGTACTCACTAGTTGCTTTCCTGTGCATATTTTCTTTTCATCAAATACTTGTTTATATTCTGCATTACTCCAAAAAGGTTCTGAGATGGTTCTTTAAAATACTTTTATACTGTATAAATTTATATGTCACTAAAAGTCAACTAGTATAAAGAAATAGATAGATGGATGTGCATCCTGGAAAGATCTGGCAGTGGGCAGACTGGAAGGGTAAGACTGGAGGCAGGGAGATGAGGGAGAGGGATGGTACAGCAGTAAAGTTCAAGAGGGCCCTGCCAACTCTTCTAGCCTTATATTAAACCTTTACCACATCACCCTCCTGCTGATACTAAACATTTGTGGTTCCTGCATGTAGCATTTTCATTTCCCTCCTCTTTCCCATTTCATGCTGTTTCCTCTGTCCAGAATGACCTTCCTGCTATATCTTCACCTTTTCAATTCCTACTCAGCTTGTAAATCTCAGCTCAGTTGAGCCTCTTCCAGGAAGCCCTCCTGGGCTGGGGCAGAGGCATCTCTCCTACCTCCAGACTCCTAGCCTCTGGGTTTCCCTCAGTCTCAGCACCGATTGCATGAGCTGTTCTTGTCTGTCTTCCCCTTTATACTGAGAGCACCTCAAGGGCAGGACCTGCATCTGATCTATGTGTGTTCCCGAATCCAGAGGCAGCATCAAAAGTGAGGAGACCTGAAACAGAGAGGTACAGACAGCAGCGAACCCTTCTGAAAAACCAGTTGGAATCGCACCCCAGTCAGACCCCAGATCTTGTCTGTGCCACAGAACCATGATTTGTCCTCATGTGTACCCTTCTCAGTAGCCTCAGACCAGAGATCTTCCAGAGGCTTGTAAGCCCTGCCCAGGGTGCTCGACTTCTCCTTTCCAGGCCTGCCATGTGCTTGTTGCTCCCAGCCGTCCACAGCAGTTGAGCCTGCTAAGGGCTGCGCAGGAACCTGTGGGAGCTAGCAACAAGTGGGCAGGGGCAGCTGGATACAGGTACCTGGGTCAGGAAGACAGACTCTGTGCTCTTGGAGTCCTCATCTGATGGGTGCTCTGGGCTGAGGTGGACAGCTGTGTCACTCAGGTGGGACAGGGTCTCTTCGCTATGCACAGTGGAGTCGGAGCAGATGGGAGGCAGCGGCACGAAGGTCCGGCGAGACAGGGAAAGGGCTTCCAAGCTCTCAGAGGGCATCTCTGGCATCCACAGAAGTGCTTTTGGTAGTGGGCAGATCTTCAGCCAGCTCTGCCTCTGGCTCTAGCATATCCATTGAGGGAGATTTGGTTGTGGCCACGTGTGGGTGATGGAGCACCAGTGGCTGCTTCGGCACCTTTAGGATTTCGGTTTTCACCTGTCATGGAGGAGGGCCAGAATGGATTTGCTTCCTATTCAGGAGTCTCTCCTCCTGGGCCTCACTAGCCTACGGCCACTTGTATAGCAGCCAGAGCACTGGGTAAGGACTGAGTGGGAGGCGGAAAGGGAAATCATACTTGTTGGGCATCTATCATGTGCCCCATGCATGACATAAGTTGTTTTATTTCTACCTTGAAACTACCCAATGAATAATTATCCTTAATTTTATAGATGAGGAAACAGGAGCTTAGAGAGGTAAAATGACCTGTCCAAGTCAGAGTGATTCGGCCGTGTGCCTCGATGATGTAATTCCAGTCCTGGGCTCCAGGCTTTCTGCTGCATCTCTGACCATATGTTACTCTGGCCCTCAGTAGTTTGGCTCTTCAGATCAGGGTTTAACATGGTGCCCTTGGGCTTTCCCCAGGGACTCCAGAGAGGGTGTTGGGGAATGGTCCTGTATTTTCTGGAAGATGGCAGCACCAGGCCCCTTTCAGGATGCTGGTCCCTATACCTTACATAAAATTGGAAAGATCTCTCTGAAGGTCAGGACCAAGAAAATAACTTTCTTAATTAGTAAAAGCCTGTGGCCATTCTCTCCCTCGTCCTCGGCCTCAGCTGCCAGGAGCTGTCCATGTGTCCAGTTTACCTCAGCTGGGCTTAGTTTTTTCTCCCTCCCGCTTTACACAGTGGATTGTTTTCACTCTTTGTCAGAGGTATTTGGTTCACTTCTATCTGTACTTTTACTGAGAGATGTTAAGTTGTGTAGTGGACAGATTCCAAGCACTGTAGTTAAATGTGGGCTGGATACAGTTCTATCCTCTGAGCTCCCACTTCCTCCTTGTGCCTCTCACAGAGTTCCGCCAAATAAAATGGTGCGTGCAAATGTACCTAACGGACTAAGGAGGGTTAAGGATGGCTGTTTTATAAAATACATTACTTTTTAAGAAAATATTTCCGCCGGGCGCGGTGGCTCAAGCCTGTAATCCCAGCACTTTGGGAGGCCGACGCGGGTGGATCACGAGGTCGAGAGATCGAGACCATCCTGGTCAACATGGTGAAACCCCGTCTCTACTAAAAATACAAAAAATTAGCTGGGCATGGTGGCGCGTGCCTGTAATCCCAGCTACTCAGGAGGCTGAGGCAGGAGAATTGCCTGAACCCAGGAGGCGGAGCTTGCAGTGAGCCAAGATCGCGGCATTGCACTCCAGCCTGGGTAACAAGAGCGAAACTCCGTCTCAAAAAAAAAAAAAAAAAGAAAGAAAGAAAATATTTCCTTTAGGAAAACATGTAGAACCTCAATGTTTATACTTGAAGCCTGAGGGATCCAGAGTCTTTGTCTGATCCATGCCACAAGGCACAGGGCACGGCACAGCACCATGCCTCAGCATCTAAAACCAAGCACCATGGCTTGGCAGCTGGCAGGAAGGGACATTTCCCCTTCCCTCTCATGGCTCTGTGTGAGAGAAGTGCTAGAGGGAATGTTCTTTCTTTAGCCCACCGCTACTTTCCCCACCCCTTCTCAAGGGAGGAATGGGTAATCTAACTGGTCAGAAGTTGAGTCACTGGGCCCTGCTTCAGTGGTGGGCTGGATTACTGCTCATCAATGAGACCAGGCTGTTTTATTTTCCATTTGTGTCCTCACAAGCAAAGGGCTCACACAGCTTCTTGATTACAGACCTGCTCGGGCAGGTTATCCATTTTCCTCCGGTCTGTCCATGCCTGGGTGTGAGGGGAGGCCTGCAGCCTTTGTCCGAATAACCCCAGGAGTCTAATCTGCACCTTTAGCCCCATCTCTGTATGCCCACTGTGGACATGCAGGCATCCCCAGTCTGACTTAGGACTAAGCCACATTGTCCAGTCTAGGATAGAGGGTGTTACCTACATTAACAAAGCATTGATTTGTTTCTCATTGGGCCACTGGCATCTGTGTTTAAATTATTTAGCTCAGAAGTTAGAACGTTTTATGGAAGGAGGTGTGAGGGGTCCCCTAGGATCCAACGCTAACTTTTAACAAGTCAGTTCACCTCTCGGAGTCTGTTGCCTCATCTGCTGTGAGGATTGTGGGATGGCACGGATGCAAGTGCTCCAGAGTCCTGGGCACGGGGCTCTGTAAAGGAGAGAGCAGATTCTGCCCCTCCCTAGCTGGCTGATAGGAAGTGATGGGGCAGATCCTGTAGAGGAGGTAACAGACAAGGAGATGGATGATGGAAACCTTGGAATTTCTATTTCTGAATTCAAATGCTTGTCTAGTCCTCTGAGGACTTCAGACAAGAGCCTGGCTGGACAGAGGTGGGCTGCAGAGTGGGTGGCAAGGAAATATCTGTATTTAACTTTTGGGATCAGCAATGCTCAGCCCACCTTCTGCTTGTAGAAAGACTAAAGTTCAGGAGGGAGGAACACATCACAGAAATTTTAAGAGGGATTTGACTTTATGGCAAAGAAAGCAGACTTTTCTCAACATATGGAAGCACTTCCTTAAGATTCAGGCAGGAGATGTATTCTGGTCCTGGCTTAGCCTTGGTTTTTTTTTTTTTTTTTTTTTTTTTTTTGCAGAGACAGGGTTTCACCCAGGCTGGTCTCAAACTCCTGCCCTCAAGCAATCTTCTCGCCTTGGCCTCCAAAGTGCTGGGATTAGAGGCATGAGCCACCACATCTGGCCCATAGCCATTCTCAATTACTATAGGTGACTGTAGCTTGCATTGGTGAGGGTTTTGGGAGTTTAAAATATATCTGTTGTTTCATCCAATGCTCTTCCCAGAGCAAGGAAAGGAGAAGAGGCAATGCTGAACCTAATGGAGAGATTCCAGGCACTGTGAAGAAAGCAGCTCTACAGCCAGGTTGGTCTGCATGTGTTATAATAGGCTGCTCTCTTCCTGGGGGTGGAGTCCTGCCTTGGGAGCCCTACCTTCCGTGAAGCCTTCTGAGGCATCAAAATATGATGCTTAGACTTTACTGTCTTCCTTCGAATTAAGTGGATTCCCAGTCGCTCCTGGAGGAAGCTCTTCAGCAGTGGAGGGACCCCTGGTGCCGTGATGGGAAAATAAGATTACTATTAGCTAAAATTTATACTGGGGCTTACCATGTGCCAGGCACTATCAAAACTGGTTTACATGTATTAATGTAACTTACTCTCAACCTAGGAGGTAGGTACCTCATTACTGCCATTCAGCAGGCAAGGAAACTGAGGCAGAGAGGCTAAGGAATTTGTCCAAGGTAATAAAGATAGTATGGAGCAAGGATCAGAGCTTCACTGGTGTCACTCCAGGGCCCAGGGCTCTAAAATGCCTCCAAGCTCCTATATCTTACACAGTGGCTCCACTGCTGGCCCAGCACCACTGCATTTAGTGTCCTCTGAGAAGGGAGGGTCCTGCAGTTGGGCCTGCATCCCTCTGCAACTGGGAAGTAGGAAATGAGGTCATGACAAGACTGTTTCACAAAGCAGGGTGTAGTTCAAAAGAGTTCATACAGGATCTACAGAATTCCATCTTCCATTCCCAACTCAGACTCTTTCTTACTGTGTGACCTTGGGCAGATAACGAACCTCCCTGAGCCTCAGTTTCTACCCCTGGCTATGGGGACAATAATGCCTGCCTCACAGGGTTACTGTCAGGATGAGCTGGTACAGAGCTGTTTCCTCCATCCCCCAATGTACCATGAACCTTGTCCCCCCGACAGAGTAGATCCGAAGATTGAGGTGGGGATGAAGGTGCCACGCTGCTCCTTGGGCACTGGGTCGAGAGGGGGCAGGTTTGCAGGTACTGTACCTCGTGTATGGGCCACCAGAGGGTTGTTATGAAAGACAAACTCGCAGAGAGATGGGAAGAGAGCTACTGGCAGGACAGCATCCTCCTTTGCAATCTGTAATGAATGCAGGAGAAACTCTCAGGTTGACACCACTCATCACCTCTGCCCAGGTATGTCTAGGCCCCTCGCTGCAGGGCTACACGCTTGCTAGGATTGGGGATGGGACTGGGTCAGACATGCTGCTGTGGATGGCACTCGCTGCTGGGCGATGCCTTGTCCCTGCAATATTACTTGCCCATGTGTGGAGTACCTTGCCCCTCCTGTCTGAAATTCCACTGTCAGTGTTGCGTGTTTGAGAGCTAAGAGTTTTTCTCTCTTCTCCATGCTGGATATGTAGCCTATATCAAGTATTAGGGAAGCTGGTGGCAAAACAGTAAGAAAAAACACATTTGTCACAAGAACAAACTCTTTGCTCATAAAGAGTTTGGGGCCAGGTGCGGTGGCTCAAGCCTGTAATCCCAGCACTTTGGGAGGCCGAGGCGGGTGGATCACGAGGTCGAGAGATCGAGACCATCCTGGTCAACATGGTGAAACCCCGTCTCTACTAAAAATACAAAAAACTAGCTGGGCGTGGTGGCGCGTGCCTGTAATCCCAGCTACTCAGGAGGCTGAGGCAGGAGAATTGCCTGAACCCAGGAGGCGGAGGTTGCAGTGAGCCGAGATCGCGCCATTGCACTCCAGCCTGGGTAACAAGAGCGAAACTCCGTCTCAAAAAAAAAAAAAAAAAAAAAAAAAGAGTTTGGAAGGTTGGCAGGGCATTGACTTTGACTTCAGGATACAATTCGTCTGACACTTCATCTTCCTCAACACAAACCTCTACATACTCCTGATGGCTCTTCCACTGAGGCCATTCCTGGACACTGATCTGGGGATGGATAAGGGGAAAGGAGGACCCACATCTAAGGGATAAGTAGAGCCAGTGTTAAGGGAGACCTCACGGCTGTGTGGGACACAGAGAATGCCCTGTGAAGCCAGCCTGCAAGTGGTGGCTTACTGGCCAACCCAGCCTCTGAAGGGCAAAAAATATACAAGCTTTGTTGAGCAGACAGCCTGGAAAAGCTGGGGACCATTTTGGTGAGAGTGTCTATTAGCAATGGAAAAATATCAGGGACATCAAGATCAAAGTGGCCAGAATGGGGCACTGGCCTATCAGACCCCTGCACACACTGGCAGGTATCGGGTCAGACATAGGACCCAATGAAGATACTAAAATCCAGCGACTGGAAGAGGGAGGGCAGTCTAGCTTCCTTCGCAGCATTACTGGACAGCACTAGATTTCCACTGAGCAACTAACTTCACTTTCATTTTTATTCATTCAACCAACAAATATTTACTGAATACCTACCATGTGCCAAGCACTTTTTTGGGAATGAGCAAAACAGGACACAATTCCTGCCCTCAAAGAGCACTGTCCAGTGGGAAACAAGCACTGGAGAGACAGTAACACAGGAGAATAGATTTACAATGTGGTAAGTGTCACAAGAGAGGCGCATGAAGTACCAGGGTGATCTGACCTAGTCAGAGAGGTAAGAGGTGTCTGAGACCTGAAGGAGGGAGAGGAGGTTTAACTAGTGAATGCAGTGGGGGATGGAGTGTGTGGCAGAGAAACTTCTGTATTAACCAAAACCATTTCTCTACCTCTAGCACACAGATTATATCTCCTAGCCTCCCAGGCAGCTATGTGTGGTCATGTAACCCGGTACTAGCCAATGCAACTTGGGTGGAAGTAGTAAATGCTACTTCTATGCACAGTCCTTACCCTCCCGTACCTCCTCCACTTTCCTCCCTCTACCACGGTCCCCCTGCTCCACCATCTAATGAGATACATAGGATCCAGGTGAGTACTGTTAAGGCCCTATGGGATGACAAAACATAGCCAGGGGGAAACTGGGTTTCTGATCATGTGGAAGGCCATTTGCCAACCAGGAATATCCATGATTGACTTTGTAAAAGCAAGAAATACACTTTTATTGTGTTAAGTCATTAAGATATTTAAGTTTGTTGCAGAGAGGAGGTATTCTCTACAAAGAGAAAAACGTGTGAAAGGCCTCATAGCCTGCTGGAGGAGTTTAAAGAAGGCTAGTATGACTAAAAGTATATAGAAAGAGGGTGCCTGGTGTAAAATGAGGCTGGAAATGCAAGTAGGGGGCAACCCAAAGGTGGTTTAAGATTTTGGTCTTTGGAGGAATCTGGGCACTGATCTGGGGATGAACAGGGGAGAGGAGGAGCCACACATCTAAGCGATAAGTAGAGCCAGTGTTGAGGGAGACCTCGTGGCTGTGTGGGACACAGAGAATGCCCTGTGAAGCCAGCCTGCAAGTGGTGGCTCATTATAAAATTAGATGGATTTTAGAAATATGAGGACCTAAATTTGACAAGACTTGGTGATGAATTAGATATTAGTGGGGGCGGGGGTAGATGGGAAGGAGTAAAGGAGAAAGAAGTATCAAAGGTGACAACCAGGTTTTGGCGTGAGTAACTGGATGGAAGGTGAAGCTATTCACTAAGATAAGGAACAATGAAATAACATAAAATTTGAAGAAAAAATTTATTAATTTGCTTTGGGTATTTGTATGTTGGCGGTACCTTTGAGGCTTCCAGGTAGAAATGTCAAATAGGCAGTTGGATACATTGGTCTGGAACACAGAAGAGAGGTCTGCATTAGAGTTGGAAATTTGTGAGTCACTGTTCATGGGCCAGTGGGTATCTGAAGTCATCCCTGTGGTGACAGTAGGGAGTGAGAGAAGAAAAGGGACTAGGAGTAGGCCTTGAGGGACTTTAACATTTGATCTTCTGGACCAGGGATCGGCAAACCTTTTCTGTCAAAGACAGGAAGTCTAGTAAACCTGCTAGTCTAGGCTTTGCAGACCATATGGTTTCTGTTGCAGCTATTCAGTTTTACTATCGTTGCACAAAATCAGCCATAGACAATTCATATGTAAGTGTGGTGGCTCTTTTCCAATAAAATGTTATTTATGGATCCTGAAATCTAAATTTCATATAATTTTAATGTGTCATGAAATTTTATCCTTTTGATTTTTTCAATCATTAAAAAATGCAAACACCACTCTTAGCACACAGGCTGTACCAAAACCAAGATTGGCAAATATAGCCCATGGCCCAAATATGGCCCATGATCCATTTATTAAAGTTTCATTAGAATATTGCCTTTCTCATTTGTTGCCATATTGCCTTTTTTCCTGCAAGGGCAGAGTTGAGTAGTTGCAACAGAGTAAAATATAAAAGTCTGCTGCCATCTTCTCTAGACCTCAGAGATAGACGAACCAAAAACAGTGCCAAATGTTTTGATAAATGACTCTCAGGGTGGTCAAAGTGGGTGCACGGTCTCTTGCGTGCAAATCAGGGGATCAAGAGACAATCACTAAAGAATGGGAGATGCAGAATTTAATTTTGTCAGGATGCAAAGTTACATTTACCCAAATTAGGTCATTAAAAAGTTGAAGAAAGTTACAATTAAAAATTGATAAAAAGTTGAATGATACTCAGGTCATGTGTGTCATATTTTCTGTGAAATTAAGCTCAGCTGAAAGGTATGGGCTTAGGATTCTGGCTGACATAGCAAGTGGAAGTCTGGCCATGGGGCTAGTCTGTTCCCTCTAGGGTGAGCTGAATGCTTCTGCAGATACATTCAGGTTCCAATGGATAACTTTACATTTCTGCTCAATCTTGTTGGGTTAAGGAGAGTATAACAATCTGTCACATTTATGAACTAAGTATTAAAGAACAAGTGAAAGTTATTATTTTACTTTTGACATGAAAATTTCTAGTGAATATTCTGAGTGATTTTCTGATGAATATTCTAGATGTATAAGTTCTGTTTAAAGGCAGAATTTATTTTGAAGCTTGTAACTTTAATAAATTGAATATTAATTTCAACACAGGTAGTGGTAATATTTGACATGATGAAAACATCATTCATGAGGCTGGGCGCAGTGGCTCACGCCTGCAGTACCAGCACTTTGGGAGGCCAAGGCAGGTGGATCACGAGGTCAGGAGTTCGAGACCAGCCTGGCCAATATGGTGAAACCCCATCTATAATAAAAATACAGAAATTAGCCAGGTGTAGTGGCAGGTGCCTGTAGTCCCAGCTACTCAGGGAGGTTGAGGCAGGAGAATTGCTTGAACCTGGGAGGTGGAGGTTGCAGGGAACTAAGATCGTGCCACTGCACTCTAGCTTGGGTGACAGATTGAGACTCCATCTCAAAAAAAAAAAAAAGAAAAATCATTCATCAAACTTATTGAGCACCTATCATGTATCAGGTAATATTCTAGATAATGAGCATATAGATGTAAGTAAAACGAAGTCCTAGTGCCAAAAAAGAAAAGCACATTCTGGTAGTAGATATGTGACAATAGACAAAAAGACATAATACGTAGGCTGGGTGCAGTGGCTCACACCTGTAATCCCAGCACTTTGGGAGGCCCAGGCGGGCAGATCATGAGGTCAAGAGGTCGAGACCATCCTGTCCAACATGGTGAAACCCCGTCTCTGCTAAAAATACAAAAAGTAGCTGGGCATGGTAGCACATGGCGTGCCTGTAGTCCCAGCTACTCAGGAGGCTGAAGCAGGAGAATCACTTGAACCCAGGAGGCAGAGGGCCAAGATTGTGCCACTATACTCCAGCCTGGTGACAGAGTGAGACTCCGTCTTAAAAACAAAAGCAAAAAAAAAAAAAAAAAAAAAAAAATACGTTAGGTGGTAACTATCATAAAGAAAAATACCATTTAAAGACTAAGGTACAAACATAGAAAAATGGAAAGAATGCTGAATAACAAGAAAAAAACTGAGTAACTTATAAAATTATAACTTTTCTTGAGTCCGGTAGAGAGCTAAGGTCTCAGGACAATCATGTGGCCTGAAATCTAAGGAAATACTGGCACCTCCAAGGAGAGATGGGACACGGACACTGGCCTGCCTGTGACAGAATGTGGCAGATGCGAGTGCCACACAAGCACTTAAGAAGAAATCGGCTAAAAATTTTAGTGAATTTATAAAGACCAAGCTTGGCCTAGAGTAAACTCCTTTAAGCTGCAAACACCCAGAGAGTTCACACTCACTAGTGTGAGAAAGATTGGAGGCAGGAGAGGGATGGATGACAGCATTCTTCAGTGCTGTGGGCCTGGAAGAGGCAATGGCTACCACTAAAAAAAGGCAGGCGGCCCTACCAACCCTTCTCCATAGTGAACAAAAGGCTATGGCTGCCAAGGAAGATCAGCAAACCCTGTCAGCCTGGGGCCTTGCATCTTGGGTAGGGAAAAAATTGAAACCTACTACTCTTGGGGTTGGAGCTGGAAACCAACCTGGGCCTAGTACATTAGAGGTCTCCTACTGCTGGGGAGGGTAGGACCACTGAGAAAAGCCCATCCTCGAGACACAGGATTGGTCCCAGGGCTGCCCGAGACTGGGGCTAAAGCCTCCCTTTGGCCTCTACCACCACGTGTTACTAGAAAGCACTAAGGAGCAAGTAAAAGCAGTGAGGAGATAAACTCTGAGGTACAGGCACTCGGGGAAGGATGAAAGCTGAGGACAAAACAGGAACACTGAGAAAAACACTCTGGCACTCTAGGAAAAACCAACTTACATGGTGTCTAAAAGAGACAGCTTAACTAGAAAGATATAAATAGGTTGCAAGTAAATGGATAGAAAGAGATATACCTTGCAAACACTAAGTATAAGGACGCTATGTAGCTGTATTTAAATCAAAATAGACATCAAGACAAGGATTATTATAAGAGGCAAAAAAAGGGCAATTCATTATTATAAAAGTATCCATACGTTAGGTAGATATAACAATTCTTCTAAATGTATATGCATCAATAGCAGACTTCAAAATATATGGAGTAAAAACTGACAGAACTAAAGGGAGAAATAAGCAGATTCACAACCACATCTGGAGATTTTAACACACTGCTCTCAGTAATTGATAGAATAAGTAGACAAGAGTACAGAGAAGATCCAAGTGACATGACCAACCACCTTACCCTAATAGCTGTAGAACACTTTGCTCCAAAACTGCAGAATAAACAGTTTTTGAAATGCACAGTTTTTGAAATGCACAAAATAAACAGTTTTTGAAATGTTCACCAAGACAGACCCACCATAGGGTGAATCATAGAACAAGTTCAAATAAATTTCAGAAGAATGACATCTTACAGATTATGTTATCTGCACACAAGATAATTAAATTAGAAATAAACAGTTACAATGTACCTTAGAAGAGCCCCATATATTTGGAAATTAACTCACTTCTAAACAACCTGTGGATCAAAGAACTCACAGGAAAAAGTGAAAATAGTTTGAATGAAAATAAAAAGAAAATATATTACAATTTGTAGGATATAGCTAAAGTAGTGCTTGAAGAAGAAATGTAAAGCTTTACATGCTTATATTAGAAGAAAGGTCTAAATTACCTAAAATTATACTGCCTAATATATAAGAAAAAGAGGAGCAAATTAAAGTCATTCTAAGTAAAAGAGAAGTACAGTTATGAGCAGAAATCAATGAAATGGAAAACAGATATCCAGTGAAACCAGCAGTTAGTTTAATAAGAAAAAGTCAATAGAAGAGGTAATGTCTAACTATTTTGGATCAATAAAAGACATAAATTACCAATTTCAAGAAGAGGGACCCATGATACATCTATGGTCCACTGATTTTCGGCAAGGGTATAAAAACCTTTCAGTGGGGGAAAGAATAGTCTTTTCAAGTGGCGTTGAGAAAACTGGATATCCACATGCAAAGGAATGAAGCTGATGCTTCTCTCACACTATATAAAGATTTACTTGAAATAGAACAAAGACTTAAATGTAAGAGCTAGAACTATAAAACTCTTAGAAGAAAACACTTGGGGAGTTTAGCTGTACCAGCTGCTTGCCATGGAAGGAATGTAAGCAGAGTATCTTACAAGTTTCTTGCATTTCAGACTTGAGTAGGGCTTAATTAGTGAGATTTTACAAAAAAACAAACAGGATATGGATATTGGAAAAACATGTTAAATCTGTCCCATGGACTTTATATCTGCCGTTCCCCTTAGGCTACAACATTTCTACCCTCACTTGACACACCCTCTTCACCTGATTAAACTCACTGATTCAGATCTCAGCTTAAACACCACTTTCTTGAGAACCTTCCTTAATCCCAAGTATTAGGTTAGATACCTCCCCTCCATCATTTACATCATAACACAGTGAATTTCTGCAATAACACTAAGCATGCTTGTATTGTGATGATTTGTCCACATCAGTCTTCCTTCTAGGTGATAAGTTGCAAAAGGGCAGAGGCCAAGTCTCTTTCCACAGCTGTATACCAGTGCCTAGCACAGAGCCTGACACTTGGTAAGTGCTAAGTAAATATCTGTGACTGAAGAGATGGACTCCTACCTTGACCTGAACTCCTTCCACTTTCCCCACCCTGAGAATTCCTGAGCCCTTGTACCTATAATGCAGGGAATTGAATGGAGGGTTGGTCTTTAGACCAGAGCAGCTTGCATCCCACCCCTCCCATCTGTGCCCCTGAGGAAAGAGTAGAGGAGCAGAAAGTCACCTTGTTGTAGGCCAGGCTAAGGTATCTCAGCTCTGGGAAGGGTGGGGCCAGCGTCTGGTTCCTGGCCTTCAGTGACTTCACAGGAAGAATCTCAAATATGGGAGGAAGTGAACATATCTTGGTTTTCTTGGAAAGAAGGAAAAATCAAAATCAAAGTGCTCAATAACAAATAACTTAAGGCCACTAAAGGCCAACAGACCCTTTCAATGGAATATGGTGGAATGAATGACCTTCCTAGAGAGACTTGGCCAAAAGAGGCATGCAGGGTCTTAAGGGTAGATGTCACCATGGGCCCAGAATTCTGGGTCCAAGTGCTCTTAGATCACATGATGAGCTAATTTTGGAGCATCCAGAGTTCCATTTTCAAGTTTTCTGTGGCCACAGGATACTAGAGCACTGGTGCAGACACCAGAAGCACTTGGTCTCCACCCCTTCCCTCTGCCCTACAGCAGCTTACCCTGAATTGGCCCTTCTACATAGTTGGGCTAATTCTCCAGAAAGCAAAGGGGCAGGTGCTTGTGTTGTTAAGGGAATTTTCCCAGTGGGGAGAGGGAGAAGGAGGTGTCTTGAGCCTTGGACACATGCTCTGATGGGCTAGCCACCATCCTCCAGTGGAGGTTCTTCATCTGAGGATGAAACAACAGTCCTGAATGACCAGCCGGCCCATGGGGGCTGAATGTGGCATGCTGCATCTGAATCCTTTGCAGGGTCATGTTCTTTTCATACAACCCAGACTACTACAGGTGCAACATACTTGATCAAGCAGAAAAAGGTAATTGTTGGTTTAACTATACATAACCCAGAACACTCACTGATTCCTGAGTTCAGTGGGACCAAAGGGTAGATGTTGGGCTAATGGTTAGGTTCAGATGGACTATATTCTGTTCTTAGTTCCATTAATCACTATGGAATGTTGAGCAAGTCACTTAAATGTGGCTTGTTCATTCAGTGAACATCTGTGGGGCATTTACTTTGGGCCAAGTGTTTTGTACCCTTTTGGGTCAACTTGTAAAAACTACACAAGTGGACATGTCAGTCATGGGTGAGAGTTAAATAAAAGCCAGTGATGGTGTTTGGGAACTCTGACGACTCGCCTCTCCCAGTGATCCCAAGGCAATCTCTGAGATGCAAGAGTGGAATGTTGTGGCAGTCTGATAAGGCAGTCTCCTCCACTAGTAATTCCCTACTTGGAGCAAAGCTATGTGAACTGAAGTGGGTAAGTCAGACTGGAGCACAAAAAAGGAAAAGCCAGAGAGTCAGGATGAAGAATTTTCTGAACCAAGGGCATAACTGGCTCTGCTCGGGGCAGAAAGGGCCCTGTCTTAGAGGGGGATGCATCTGATTTTAATGGAGAAAGGCCACTAAAAGTCTCAACTATCCAATTCACTTTCTAGATTTTCAGATGTCAGAGAGCTGATCTGAGCACTGAGCAGTCCTACAAATGACTGGTTCATGTCTGTAATCACAGTACTTTGGAAGGCTGAGGCAGGCAGATCACGAGGTCAGGAGATGGAGACCATCTTGGCCCACGTGGTGAAACCTTGTATCTACTAAAGTACAAAAATTAGCTGGGCATGATGGCACACACCTGTAGTCCCAGCTACTTGGGAGGCTGAGGCAGGAGAATCGCTTGAACCCAGGAGGCAGAGGTTGCAGTGAGCCAAGATCGTGCCACCACACTCCAGCCTGGCAACAAAGCAAGACTCCATCTCAAAAAAAAAAAAAAATTATCTTTGATTTCTGTGGTAGACTGTTAATTGGCCACAAGTGCCTCAATCCCACATACATGCCCTTTTGCAGTGTGACCTGGTTGCTCCTCCCATTCAGAAGTGAGATAATGTCTCTACCCTCTTTAGAAATTAGACTGGCTGTTATATAAGAAACAATTTGGCTGGTCCTTGTCCCAGGTTCCTGGCACTGAGCTTCTAAAACCCTTGGAATTTTCTGAGTGATAGGAGTATCTTTGTTATGCAGGACCCCTTGAGTCACACCTGAATTTATGGTAGTGAGATGCCTCAGGATGGAGGCTGGCCATGCCAGAAAGACTAACCACGTGACTAGAGGGTTGGAGCTTTGCGCCAGCCTGACCACTGGAAAGGATAAGGGACTGGAGATTGAGTTCTATCAGGTAGCCAGTGAGCCTCCATTAAAAGCTCTGGACTCTGAGGTATGGGCGAGCTTCCTGATTGGTGAGCACATCAATGTGCTGGGAGGGAGACATGCCCTGATTCCACAGGGAAAGGGCATGAAAGCTCTCAGACCCTCTTAGACCTCACTGTATATGCCTTTTCATCTGGCTGGTCCTGATTCATTATCATATATAGCTGGGCAACCCTCGGCCCACAAACTGGTGCCTGTTGGGAACTGGGCTGCACAGCAGGAAGTGAGCAGTGGGAGAGTGAGCGAAGCGTCATCTGTATTCACAGCTGCTCCCCATTGCTTACATTACTTCCTGAGCTCCACCTCTTGTGGGATCAGCAGCAGTATTAGATTCTCACAGGAGCACAAACCCTATTGTGAACTGGGCATGTGAGGGATATAGATTGCACACTCCTTATGAGAATCTAATGCCTGATGATCTGTCACTGCCTCCCATCACACCAAGATGGAACAAGGAGAACAAGCTCAGGTCTCCCACTGATTCTACATTGTGGTGAGTTGTATGATTATTTAATTATATATTACAGTGTAATCATAGAAATAAAGTACACAATAAATGTAATGCACTTGAATCATCTGAAACCACCCACCCCACCCCAGTCCATTGAAAAATTGCCTTCTACAAAACTGGTCCCTGGTGCCAAAAGGTTGAAGACTGCTGCATTATAGTAAAACTGTAATTGTAAGTATAACCCTTTCCTGACTTCTGTGAATTGTTCTAGAAAGTTACTAAACCTGAGTAGGTTGTGGAAACGCTTGAATTCATAGCCAGTTGGTCAAAGTGTGGCTAGCCTGGTGACTCCCAAATTTGTGGCTGGCCTCTGAAGTGAGGGCAATCTTGTTGGGAACTACCCTCACTTGTGGGGTCTGCTTAATTTGTGGGGTCTGCAGGAACTCAGGGGTCAGTGTCAGAATTGTACAGCAGTGTAATAGTGGGCTTTTGACTTGCTTTGATCAAAAGAATGTGGAGAAGTGACACTATTTCAATTTCAGAACTTTCAGTTTACCCTTGCTGTCTTGAAACTCTGATGCTATAATGCAACCATACTGTAATGAAGCCCAGGAGACAAAGATTGTAAAGAGAAAATGCCAAGCCATGCCAGCTGTGGACCTAAACCCAGCCCCTAGCCCCACTGCCAGCTAAATGCAGCTGCATGAGTGAGCCTTGGCAAAGCCAGTAGAATCACCTCATCAACTCAATTGTGAGTGGTGAAAAATAATGAATTGTTATTGGGTTGGTTTGGTAAGCAGCTATAGTTAACTGATAGAATTTCTCACGCAGTTGTATCTGTGGGGAGGTTGTATACTGAGCTACCTCTCAAGGATGCAGGTTGGCTAAATGAAGAGATGTTCTATTTATTGTAAATGAGTTAATCAATATTTAGTTTACGTGCACCAGTTTCCATGAGCATCTGCCATGAGAGGGGGAAAAAAAATTCTGTGCTGACAAAAATCAAGGGTCTAAGTCTGTGACATCAAGGATTAGGTCTTGGATAGTGGTGTTTCTGGCAAGGACTTTGCCAGCTTTGGGGGACTCTTGTTAGGGAGCTCCTGGTAGCCGCCCCACTTCGGTGCCAATTTTATCACTTGAGGCAGCTGCCATTATTACATTATGCTAAACAGCATGTAAGAACAATGAAAGAGTAGGCAGGTAAGGTCAGGACTTGTCTGTCTGTGGCCAGCACAGGACCTGGTACATGGTAGGTACTTGGCAAATACCTGTTCATTCAGTGGGGTTCCTCAGTGTCACCTACAGAAATGACTCTCATGGCTCCATTAACTCATTTGGTCTACTTAAAATTAATATTCTAACTCAGGAACACAAACAAAGTAGTCAGCTCCTACCTCTGAGGTTGAAAATCCAGGTTGAGATGAGAACACAACCTCTGAAACAGAAGAAAAAGAATGAAGGTTGGTGAGAGCACTGACTGACGCCTAGAGCACCCAGGCTATAGCTCTGCCAGCCACTGTGTATAGCGGGGCACCTCCTACAGGGAGTCCTCATTGGTCCTCGGCTCCAGTGCTAACTAGGAAGAGGAGCTGGCTGTGACATGCACCAGGTAATAAGTCTTTTTGCACTTAGGATAAAATACAAACTGCTTATCCAGACCTCTGAGGTCCTGCATGATCAGGCCCCTGCCTACTTCTTCAATCTCATTTCATGCTACTGTCTCCCTCACTCACTGTATTTCAGCTACACTGACCTTCTTTCAGACTTTAAAACACACAATCACTTTCGAGCTTCAGAATTACTGGGGAGTCCATACTGAACAGAAAGCTAATCAACTGTCTTAGAAATGTATATAGAAGACATTCTGTCAGAGGATTTGGAAATAATATTTGTAATATTCGAAGAAACAGAATGTGTTAAGCCAGTGAATTCAGGAGAGACACCAAGAACGACCAGCATACAGTCATAAGGAGGAGGCTGCAGAGTGATTTCATTCTTGGGACCATCAGAATGAGATGAGCCAATAAAATAGCTGAGTTCAACCTAATATAGCATAGCATCTGCTGGGACTAGATCCTGTGCAGACGTTGCTCACCTTGAGCCTAGTTAAGCGACACCTTCTACATGTTAATGATATTGCAATGAGAAAAAGGTCACATGAAAATGAAGAAAATAGTAATAGGCGATGGAACAACATATGGCATAAATAACTTCTCCTGTGAATGAGGGTCTGCAAGGGAGTTTGGAAAAGCTTTGTGCAATGAACAAAGTAGGAATTCCCTTGGGGGAGGGCCATGGTTGCAAGTGTGGGTGCTAAGCAGTGAACCCTGGAAAACACCTCTAGACAGCACCTCTAGAAAGAGAGGCATGCTGCCTGAATGTGCATCCTGCTCTCCCCACAATCACAGGAATTACTGCATTTTAAGCTTCTGATTATTATTACACAAAGGAACTAAACAATCAAGAATCTCCTAACATTTGAGGGAAATTAACAATATAAAAAAGGGAAGAATTAGCACCTGAATAAAAACAGTTTATTTAACAAAAGTTATAAAAATTTCAAAATAGAATAATTAGTATTCTCTGAGAAATTCAAAGGTTATTTAACTCCTAAAACAAAAGCAGATTGTTGTGGAAGCAAAGCTACTAACAAAGCTGTAAATTTATAATAAAAGAACTCATAAACGTGCTGAATGGCAGAATGGACCCAGTTGAAGAACTAATTTATAAAATGGAAGACTGAGTGGAGAGACTCTGAATGCAAAAGGCACAGGAGAAGATGGTGGAATAGAAGGTAACCCACTCATATCCCCTCACAATAACAAAAATCCTGCACCTGCCCACAGTCAAATGTCTCTCTGCAGGAGTCTCAAGATTCAGGTAGGAGTCTATGAAACCCTGGTGGAGCCCAAGACCTTGAAGGATTGTTTTGAGAGTGCAGACGACATCCAAGTGGCTCATCCACAAACGCTTGCTCCCCAGTTCAAGACTAGAAACAGCCTAGCCTTCCAAGGGCCTGGGCTACAGCCACATTTGGCCTGAGCCTGCAACCAAAACCATCTGCAGAGAGGTCCAGCAGGAGTTGTACATGCTAGTGCCTTGGTGGAAAGGCTTGTCTACCCACTGACATCAGTCTTGGCAGTAAGCCTGAAAGTTTCCCTGTTTGTCTGATCCAGGCTGTCTCAGCTGAGGTCCCTGCTCCAGTTTCTTGTACAAGGACCCAGGAGGAGACTCACCCATATCTTGTACCCTGAGGCTCCCAGCTGAGTTCACCACCCTCTGTCCCACAGCAAATTTCACCCAGTCTGAGATCTGGTCCCTCCAGCTGCAATCAGAGAGCTACTCAGAATTTGCAAAGACTTGCTGGACGACACATGCCCCTCTGAGCCAATGAGACCGGGCTTTCTAGCCTTCACCCTACAGCAAATCCTGAGGGCACAGTCTCAACTCTGACCCCTGCCACTACAGTGGAGAATTATCCTGTCTGTGCTGAGACCTGCGGAGAGACACACGCCTGCCTGAGCCAACAAGATGGGCTCTCTAGTCTCCTTCCCATAGCAGATCCCAGCGGGGTCCAGTGTTAGCCCTGACCCCTCCTGCGGCAATCAGGCAACCATCTCATCTGTGTAGAGACTTGCTGGGAGACACACGCCCCTCTGAGCCAATGGCCACCACCTCACAGCAGATCCCACAGTCTAAGATTTGGCTCCTCCTGCTGCTAGTCAGGGAACTATTCTTAGTGTGCAAGAACTTTGCTGGGTAATGTGCACCTCCCTGAACCAAGACAGGGCTCTCTAGCCTCTGTTCCATAGCAGATACCAAGGGAGTCCTATGGTCAATTCCAGCCCCTCCTGCTACAATCAGGGAATTATTCCTTCTATGCAGAGACATGCTGGCAGATGAATTCCTGTCTGAACCACCATGCCAGGCACACCAGCCTCCAGCCCATAGCAGATCCCGAGGGGTGCCAGTCTCAACTCTGGTCTCTTGTTGCAGTCAAGGAACTACTTTTGCAGGGACCTCCTAGGTGACATACACCTGTCTAAGCCAATGAGATGGACCACCAGCTTCATTCCTACAGCAGATCCCAAGATGGCCCAGTCTTTTTTTTTATTTTATTTTTTGAGATGGAGTCTTACTCTGTTGCTCAGTCTGGAGGGCAGTGGCACCATCTTGGCTCACTGCAACCTCCACCTCCCAGGTTCAAATAATTCTCTGCCTCAGCCTCCTGAGTAGATGGAATTACAGGCACCTGCCACCACACCCGACTAATTTTTGTATTTTTAGTAGCGATGGAGTTTCACCATCTTGGCCAGGCTGGTCTTGAACTCCTGACCTTATGATCCACCCACCTCAGCCTCCCACAGTGCTGGGATTACAGGTGTGAGCCACCACACCCAGCAATGGCCCAGTCTTAAATCCAGTCCCTCTGGCCACAGTTGGGACCCATCCTGCCCATGCAGAGACCTGCTGGGAGGCACACATGTCTGGGCCACTGGGACAGTGTTCTGGACTCAGGTCTCCTTGGCCTGCATTCTCACATAACCCTAGTCCTATCTTTGAGTCTTCCCAGACCCACTTGGGCCAGAAATCCACATCAATCTCAATCTTGCCAAGACTTGCAGCAAGGCTGGGTTTATACCACTCCTGAGTACTGAGATGCCAGTAGTGGTCCTAGGCTCAAGAAACATAACAGTCAATCTGCTTAGAATCCCTGGAAGTCCCTCTGAAGAAGGACAGGCACAAACAAAGCCAGACTACAAAGGCAAAAATAAATACCGAGTATTTCAAAGCACAGACATCATCACACTTCTACAGACATCAAGAACACTCAGGGAAATATGACCTCACCAAACATACAAAATAAGATGCCAGAGACCAACCATAAAGTAATAGAGATGTGTGATCTCTCAGACAAAGAATTCAAAATAACTGTTTTGGGGGTATTTTTTTCCTTTGTTTTTTGAGATAGGCTCTCATTCTGTCACCCAGGTTGGAGTGCAGTGGCATGAAATGGCTTATTGCAGCCTCAACTTCCTGGGCTCAAGCAGTCTTCCCACCTCAGCCTCCCATGTAACTGGGACCACAGGCATGCACCACCATGCCTGGCTAATTTTTTGGTAGAACTGGAATCTCACTTTGTTGCCCAGGGTGGTCTTCAACTCCTGGGCTCAATCAGTCTTCCTACCTCAACCTCCCAAAGTGCTGGGATTATAGGTATAAATTACCATGCCCAGCCAAAACAGATGTTTTAAAGAAGCACAATGAACTTTAAGAAAACACAGAGAATCAACTCAGAAATTTACCAGAGAAATTTAACAAAGAGATTGAAATAATTTAAAAAATTGAAAAATATAATGAATAAAAAAGGCAATAGAGAAAATCAACAGCAGAATAATTAATCAAACAGAAGAAAGAATCAGCTCAAAAACTATATGAAAATACACAGTCAGATGAGAAAATAGGAAGAAGAATGAAAAGGAATAGAGAAAGCTTGCAGGATCTATGGGACAACATCAAAAAGGAAAATATTAGGATTGCTGAAGTTAAGGAGGGATATAAGAAAGACAAAAGGAGTAGAAAGGTTGCTCAAAGGATAACTTTCTCAAAGAAAACTTTCCAAATCTGGAGAATGGGTGGGTGTGGGTGTGCATGTACCCCACCATGCCATTACTGCCAGGATAAGCACACCCACTTCCACTGCCACCACACTGCCACTGCCAGCCTGAACGTTAAGCATGGACACCAGTGACCCTGCACCCTGGCCCATGCTGCCACTGGGCCATCCAAAGGATGGCACCTTCAAAGATTGAAAGAGTATCAGTCCACACAGATGAGAAAGAAGCAGCCAAGAACTCTGGTAAATCAAAAAGCCAGAGTGTCTTTTTACCTCCAAATGACCACACTAGTTCTCCAGCAGTAGTTCTTAAACAGGTTGAAATGACAGAAATGGAATTTAGAATATGGAGGAGAATGGAGATCACTGACATTCAGGAGAAAGCTGAAACCCAATACAAGGAATCTAAGGAATAAATAATACAGGAGATGAAAGTTGAAATGGTCATGTTAAGAAAGAAGCAAAGTGAGCTGATACAGCTGAAAAACTCACTTCAAGAATTTCAGAACACAATTGTAAGTGTTAACAGCAGAATCAACCAAGCTGAGGAAAAACTCTCAGAAGCCCAAAGACCGGCTTTCCAAAATAACTCAGTCAGACCAAAAAAAAAAAAAAAAAAAAGGAAGAATGAGCAAAACCTCTGAGAAATATGGGATTATGTCAAAAGACCAACAGTATTACCCAATGGTATCCCTGAAAGACAAGGAGAGAAAGCAAACAACTTGGAAAACATATTTCAGGATATCATCCATGAAAACTTCCCCAATCTTGCTAGAGAGGTCAACCTTCAAATTCAAGAAATGTAGAAAACCCTTGTG